AGGCAGACCCAGCCCTTTCCTTACTCTGTCCATTTCGCGCCCTGCGCATTTATGTGGACCGTACTCAGTACTTTAGATCTTTTGAGCAGCTCTTTGTCTGTTATGGCGGACGGCAGCAAGGAAGTGCCGTGTCCGAACAAAGATTATCCCACTGGCCATTTCATGTGCTTATTTGAGCAGAGGTCAGCCACGTCTCCCGGGAGTGCGTGCGCACTCCACTCGGAGCATTGCATCCTCTTGGGCGCGTGCACGCGGTGCCTCTTTAACAGACATTTGTAGAGCTGCGGGCTGGGCGACACCCAACACATTTGCAAGGTTTTACAATCTGCGAGTGGAGCCGGTTTCCTCAAGGGTGTTAGGTAACCCTTGGTGATTGAGGAAACAACTCGGTGGAGTGTTGTAGCACGCTTGCGGTGCCTTTTTTCACTAAAACGGAGAGATGTGCACCTTCCCATCTGTCAGTAAAGTTCCCCGTCGGTGAGCCCTGCAGATTCCTCCGAGGCCCCCAGCACTGACTCAGCGGAGGAGTCACTTGCTGGCCCACTACGTTAGGTCTGCCCGCCGGTCAGCCCGCGTTTTTTGGGTATAGGTGCCGGTCAGCCCGCGTTTTTGGGTATAGGTGCCGGCTATGTGTGATCCCCTCTGGCAATCCCATATGCTTATTTCCGCCACGGTTAAAGTCCCCCCCCCTGGGTGAACCCGTGCCTTCCCTATCCGCTAACCACCTCTTATGCGCACTCCCCCTCCTTAGGGTTAGTCCATATGTTATTCCATTTTGTCTACCTATTGGGTGCGGATGGTCTCTGCAGCGTCCTCCCTACCGGGTTTGCACGCTTCCCAACGTACTGTCGTATTTCCTAGAATTATCTAGACGCTAGCAACTCCCAAAAAATATACCTATTCCGTAGAGCTTCTTTTGAAGTGGGGATAAGTTAGGGCCAAGGGCACGTTGGAGGACCGCGCCTTCCATGATTTGGGTACGGCTTGCCTGACTGCCCTCTCATCGGGGGCGTTGGTAAGGTGCAGTCATTATGGCGCTTTCAATGGCTCCCATACGTGGATTTTAACATCAAATCCACTTATAGCACTGGAGTTCCCCAACCGAAGGGGAACGTTCGAGGTTACAGAAGTAACCCTTCGTTCCCCGAGGAGGGGAACGGAAGTGCTATATTCCGTCGTCATAATGACTGTCCCTTAGCTGTTTAAAAGTCTCTTCAGCTTAAAAAGGATGGCGTTTGCTGGCGCCAGGTGTGCTTATATGCTCAGTTAATTGGCAATGCAGCACACCTGCGCAAGCTTACGCTGCCAATTAATTGCTTTCATTGGCCCGTTCAATACTCTTTCAGACAAGCGGCTTCTGAACTGAATCCTCCCATACGTGGATTTAGAACATCAAATCCACTTAAAGCACTTCCGTTCCCCTCCTCGGGGAACGAAGGGTTACTTCTGTAACCTCTAACATTTTTATTAATGAAGATTGATTTTAATGAAACCGAAAGAGGAAGAGGGATATGGATTTTAAATACAGAAATTTTAAATGGAGAACCTTATAGAAAGGCAATAGTGAACTTAATAAATACTGAAATACAAAATGAGATGTATCATGAAGATAAAAGAATATGGTGGGATAACACAAAATATGAAATTAATAAGTATACGATTAAAATGAGTAAATCAATACAAAAAGCAAAAACACATAAAGAAGTAGAGGTTAGATAGGAATTAAATGACAGTTTAAATCAAGAAAAAGTAGATATAGAGAGAATACTGTTTCTGGAGGAGGAATTACGAAACATAGAAGAAAGAAAATGTAGAGGTGTGATGATCAAAAGCAGAGCCAAATATATTGTGGATGGAGAGAAATGTACAAAATTCTTTTTCAATTTAGAGAAAAGTAAGGGTAACCGAGAAATTATAAGAGAATTAAAAAAAGAAATTAGGGAAAAAATAAAAGAAACACAGGATATTTTAAAGAAAGTTAGAGATTTTTATGAAAGCCTTTTTAAAAAAGGTGAAATAAATGAAAAAGAAGAACAATTTTTATTGGATCAAATTGAGGGAAAAGTAACAGAAGATGACAAAAATATGTGTGATGAGGAAATACAAATAGAAGAAATCAAGGAATCTATAATGCAATTAAATAATGTGAAAAGTCCAGGATTAGATGGACTAGTATCTAAGTTTTATAAAGTTTTTAAGGATGTTTTAGCACCAATTTTAAAGGAAATTTTTGATGAAGTTTTTAAAAAACAAGAAACAACGCATTTAATGACAGTTGGTTTAGTTAAACTGATATATAAGAAAAAAGGTGAGAAAAATGATTTGAGGAATTTTAGACCCCTAACAATGCTAAACAGATTTTAAGATTTTAGCCAAGGTTTTAGCAAATAGACCTAAAAAGGTCTTACCCGATATTATCAAAACTAGTCAGGCATATGGCGTGAAAGGGAAAGATATCACAGATATAATTAGCAGTATAAGTGATTTCGAGAATGCATTTGACAGAGTTGAACACAATTTTCTATTTGGGGTTTTAAAAAAGGTTGGTTTTGGGAATAATTTTTTAAGATGGATCAAGTGTTTATACAACGGAGCTATTAGTCGTATTAAAGTTAACGGTTTTATCACAGACTGTTTTAATGTAACACGATCCATAAAACAGGGATGTCCACTCTCTGCACAGCTGTACAGTCTAGTGACTGAAGATCTAGGTTCAGCTATAATAAGAGATAAAGGAATACATGGAATTAAAATGGTAGAAACAGAAGAAGAACAGAAAATTTATCAGTATGCAGACGATACAACACTGATTTTAAAAGATATGCAAAGTGTGATAAATGCAATGAAAATCATTCAAAGACCAGCAAGAAATAAAGATTTTAGGGATTACCTTTGGAGAAAATGGGAAAAGAGATAAGGAGATAATGTAGGATGAAATTATTGGAGGAATGGAAAGGAGATTGGAATGGTGGAAACAAAGAAGAGTCAATTTGAATGGAAAAGTTTTAATCGTAAATACGTTGATGTTGTCAAAAATGTGGTATGTGTTAGGAGTTACCCCTATGGATCACTGGCATGAGCAGAGAATAAAACAATGTTTATTGAGTTTTATCTGGGAAGGAAAACCACCAAGAATTGGATATAATGTATTAATTGGAACAACCGATGATGGGGGGGCTAGGTTTGTTAGATCCAGACACAAGAAAGAAAAGCATGAGAGTCAAAGTGATAAAAAAGTATTTAAATAAGGAATTTAAATCAGAATGGAAACATGTAATGAGGTTTTATCTTAACAAATGTGGGGGTTTTAATATGAATGATGATATTTTATGGATGAAACTGAAACAAAGCATGATGACTGGGATTCGTGATTTTTATAAAGAAGTTTTACAAGCATGGAGTGAGTTTTTAAGTCACGTTGATTTTTAACCTGAAGGGAGGAACATGTTATTAAATCAACCTTTGTTTTTAAATGCTAATATTTTAACACAAGAGAAAGTAGTATAGTTTAAATATTGGTTGGAAGCAGGTGTATGTCAGGTTAAGGATGTTTTATATGAGATTAAAGAAGGGTTTTTACCAAGCCAAGTAATTGTGGATGCCATGGATGGGATTGGGGAAGATATCAAAAGAGAAACTCTGGTAAAACAATTTGAAATAGTGAAAAGTGCAATACCTAAAGAAAGGATAGTAAAAATTGAACAAAATAATGAAAGCAATGATAATGTGAAAGTGATTTTAAAGGAAAATGAGAAAGATTTTCAAGAATGTGTTCTCAAAAATTTCTACATTTGTTTCAGAAACAAAGTGCATAAAAGACCAGTTTCAGAACAATTTTTGAAAAAAAAAATCTTTGTGGAAATAGATGAAGAGGGAATCTGGAAAAATTTAAAATGGAAATATTTAGATACAAAAATTGAAACGTTGGATTATTTTATCAGACATAATGTTATTTTCACTGAAACAAAACTGGCACAAATCGGAAGCAGTGAGAATGCATTATGCAAAATATGTGGAAAGAAAAATGAAGGTATTATGCATTTGTTTTTAAAATGTGTTGAATTAA